TTAATATTCATTGTGAAACTTGTAAAAAATTAAAGAAAAAAGTAACAACTAAACATTTCTTCTGCTATTTGGCTTCCAGAAATCGGCAGTTTTTAGAAAAGTACTGTTATGACAGTTTGACAGGTAAGGATGAAAGTATTATAACATTATTTAAATTGGACTAAATGATTGATATCGTTTTTTGCTTTGTATATAGCTCTTCAGGTTTCTTATGAAGACTATAATAGTAAATAGGAGGAACTTTACAAATGAAAGACAACGGTAGATTATTTACTGTTCTGACATCCAACTATAACTTTTCTGTGACTATCTAGCCTAAGGTGCTAGGGGAAACTTTTTTGACAATTTGTCAGATCTTCATCGGTTAGAATATTGATTTATTTATATTCAATTGCATGACTTTGGTTTTTTTAATCTCCTTAGGTTTATTCGAAGAAAAATTATTACAATATTCGTGGGCAGCAAACAACTCTCATGGTTAAGCAATATCCGCACCTGGACAAATTTCGAACTGTTGGCGAATTGATATACTCTGCGCGATCGAGAGAGCTTTACACAGTGATAGTAAACAACATATCGTGGAACGTTTTTTGAAATGCTGTATAGATTATAGTTTAAAGTAAAATGATGAAGTTGAATGTTATAAGTTAAATGCAACCTTTTATTATTATGTTAGTTATAAGTATTATAAAAGAAAAATTTGTAGTATTGAAGATTTAATTTGAAAACTACATGGAAATAAAATTATTGTAATAAATGCGATCATTGACACTCAAAGTGAGTAGACAGCCGAAGATGAAGCGCAGCGAATGAATGTCTGCTGACCTGCCATTACAAACAGCCATGACAATTACCTTCAGTCTAAATTCTGATATATGCATAGATTTTCATTATCCTCGCTTCCAAACATATTTTTTTGGCTCTGATTCTTTTTAAATCTCAATATCGGACAGTTTGAAAAAAATTATTTTCGTCATAAATTCATAATGACTTTTTTGGTATTATTACAGTAATACGAGGATATATCTAAGAGATGATGATTTCTTTTACGGTGCACAAACTTTCAAAGGATTAAGTTTGTCTTTATTTAAAAGTGCGGATGCCATATAGAGGATTGACTTTTATGTGCGATATATGTTACCTCCGTTTTTAGTATATATAATGGGTATTCTGTTTTAGGGTTTAATTTTTAAGCTTGCAAAACCATATAATCATTTTTTGAATTATTATCTGATTTTATACAGCACTCTTCTTTATTATCTCATAAATAAAAATTGCCGCTCTAAAATGTACGACATTTGGAAAACACTATCGTGCTGTATAAAAACAATCTTTTACAGCACAGCCGGAAATAATAAAAATAAAAATTTTCAAATATTAACAATACACATTTGCAACCGGAAACATGGCTGGTCCCCGACTCCGTGATGTCTTCGCATTCTAAGCTCATTGCTGCGTTATGCTTGCGATGATGCATCTTGGCTGTTTGCCTGCTGCAATTTTATCTGTTGCCACCAGCTGGTGTTGTGCTCTTACCTGTGACACCTTTCATGGTGATTACTAATTTATTTTACTTGAGGTTGATGGAAACGCTTAAGACGTGTCTTATCTCTATAAAAAATTATCTCAAGTTGAAACTTAAGGTAAGTGCAAGGCTAAAAGTCAAAATATATTTCCTTAAGTAAATCGCAAAGGACAAGCGTCTATCGCATGCAAGTGATTGTATGAAAACTTCTCTTCATTATCATTAAAGCAATGATAATTTGTGGAAAATATGAAGCCTTAAAATGTAAAGTAAATTTTTAGGATTTGTGATATAATAAAATTTTAATATTTTTTATTGATTAAATATATTCGTATCATTTTCGAATTTTTAAAATGCTGTTGCTAGTAATACTGAAGTTATTTGAAAATTATTTCCCAATTGACTTTGCATCTTGGTTGAAGTATTAGTAGTTTCAGTTGAAGTATTACAGTGACATATCTCAAAAAATAAAAAAAATTTAATACATATTTTCTAACAATACAAAAGCGTACACGAACCATTGAAGTGAGTCTCCAGTGCAATTGATTTGAAATTGCTGCACTTTGAAGCGAAAATTTAATTCAATACTGACGTTGATCAGCTGGAAAATCGTATCGTCAGTTTAGTCGTAATTTGTCAACAATTTCCGTTTACTTGACATTTACTTACAGCTCAATTGACAGCAAAGCGTTCACGGAGACCAAATGTAGCCGAGTAATATGTTCCAAATTGGTGTATAAAAATCACTTATTTCCGACTTTGTTGTGCCAGTGTGAAAAGTGTCTATTTACCGTTGCTGGTCGTCCTCCATGGAACTCTAATGTCGTTGTTGTTGCCAATCCCGATGCTGCGATAACATGTGCTGCTGCATAATCAAATCAAAATGTAAATAAAATGAAAGGAACTCAAATTGAAATCGATTGAATGGAGTAAATGGACACTTTGACAGGCAGCAAAGAGTTGCTGCAGCTGCTCACTTGACAGGCAAGAATTTCAATACGTACTTTTATTTGTTTATTAAAAATAATGTCTGATATATCAAATTTGTTTGAAATAATAAAATAAAATATTTTTAGGTGTAAAAAGCAGTACTGATAAAAAATGTAATCAAAAAAACATTTCAGCTAAGTGAGGGACGGGAATAAATACTGATAAAAATTGTTAATGTCACATATTAAATACTAATATACTAATATATACTAAAATACTAATACATTTCTCACAAAGTATTTATTTATTCTTCAATAAAATTATGCACTTATACTATCCTAGTTTGAAAAACATTGTTGGAACAACTTTAGGGTACGGTCTATGGGTATAGTTCATCTCTCTTGTTGAAAAGCGTATTCCTTTGAGTGCTTTTTTGTGAAATAACTATTAGATTGATTCAGAGTGATATATATTTATGTCATAGCGATAGTACTTCTTTTTGTATAGAGTCTTACATGATTTAATTTTAGCTGATACTGAAAGCCTTTCAGTCCTCTAAAACCAACCCTGTCTTTAACATGATAATTTTGTTCATTTTGTTGTGAAAAGTACTTAAGCACTTTTGTGTGTGGTAAACGGCACTTGGTCGCCAAACGCGATGAGTGGTTCCAAACTGTAAACCTGACCATATATGTGCGTGAGCAACATATACCAATATGTGCTCTCTGAAACTGTTACTGGAATATAAACATCATAAAAATAGAATACTGTATTATACCTACAGTATTCTATTTACCTTTAACGATCAATAGCATTGACATTTTCTATTTAGATTTGATTTGGATAAAAGAGAATCAATCCATTTACCGTTTAGGTTGTCCACAACATCAAAACTTTTTCAATGGTAAAAATATTTCAAATATGTAAAAAAATAATATATATATATTTAATTGTCGTTGAATGTTAAGTTTAAAAAAAATCTCATGCATATTTTAGTATTTAAATCAGTGCGGAAAACACTAATTGCCTGCACACTTTACGAATGGAAGCATATTAAATATATACAATATCATGGTAGCTATTTTTCACACAGTCCCACAGTCAGTGACTTATTAATAAATCACTGGAATAATGGTCAAGACTCCATTAATAAATTTTTATATGTGCTTACTTTCACGCTCACAACATAAACACGGACCGAATGAGCTACACACACACAACCGAATACGCGAGTCCTTCTCCATATCCTTCCGTATGTATTTTACATATAATAGTTACTTTATATTATGGACTTACTTTTTTTTTCTTTGTTGGTCTTAGTTAACATTTTACATTACACAACATATAAATTTCTCTTTTTATGTAATTAATTAGTGTAGTATGAAAAAAAACCAATTTTTTAAATTATTTTTGTCGTTGCTGTGGAAAAAGTTTTCAAGCAAATTTTATGCTTTGTAAAAAGTTTCATTATATTTGAGAAAACTAAGTAATGAAAAGTACTCTGATATTGAAAAAGGCGCAAATATAAAAGTTATAATATATGGCAATTACTAAGAGACTACTGAAGCAGGACATATGCATTAAGTACCACTAAAATGTTCGTAATGTCTCAAAAAAAGGTTTAGTTTTAAGCTTTAAACTAAAGAATATGTTTAAAATGATAACAAAAATAATTAATTAAATTTTTCTATAGCTGGTTCATGATTTCGTTTTAATATAACACAGCAAATTGGTTTTTTAATGAACTTTCACAGTAAATTAATAAAACTCCAACTTGAAATACACAAGTTAAGTACAGCTTTGGGTCAGTTGGCTAATGAACACTGACTCTGAGCTTCAAATTTGGCAGGGCATGACTTTAATCCTTCTTACTTATAGTCTCAAAATATTATTTACGAATAATAAATTACACTGATGAAGTTAAGGAGAAGTCATCTGATAATTTACTTAAGGTCATAAATAGCAATATAAGAATGTACTCAAAAAAAGCAGATCACTTAACAACTAGACAATGCAAAAAACTAAATATTTTTTCAAAGTTTTTAATTAATTCTCAATTACTTACACTTGTCTTTAATCCAAGTCTAACTTTTTCATAACTGATTATATTTCAACACACAACTGATGTCAAGGTGTACTACTAGAGTCAATGTAAGAAATGTAGTACTGAAGTGATGTATTATATATATAATTCATGGTATTTAATAGCTTTTAATAAATCTTTGTTACACCTATCAGAATTCTAACATTAATTGCAGGAAATTAAGGAAAATATTATCCTGTCTAGAAAGAGTTGTGATGAAACTGTACCATGCTTTCTATCTACTTTCATTCCATTTCTATTTCTTATTTATATTATAATTTGAAAATAATTAATGATAATTAGACGAAAGTACTTGGCGTCAATCAAAGTCAAAACAAATTGAAAAACCTTATATGGTATGTAAATTAAATCGAGTTTAATTTCACACCTTGAAATAATGTTTATGGGCTCAATTTTATTCAGTTATCAAGAAGGTGGTGTAATACAAAGTATTATAAAACTATGATAGCTGTAAGGAAGCCTTCTGAATCGCTTAGAGCCGTGTTAAAAGCTTTTAGCCTTTTGTGCAAAGTTATGGGCGTTGACGCAATAGACCCAAAATATCACTTTAATTTTTTTACAGCTTTATCTATATTGTATCTTACTGCATATCATGTTTGCACGCTGTATACTGCATTTCAGCATAGAGATGACTTCGGATTTATGTTGCAGGTACTCTGCACTATAGGTGCTGGCATGCTGGGAGTTGTTAAACTAGGAACAGTCTTGAAGTATAGCAAAATTTTGGGAGCTATGCGGACACTTATTGAACACTTGTATACTGAGTATGAAATGCAAGGTACTGATTTTCGGAGAGCACTCTATAATAGTTGCAACAGCAGTAAAAAAATTATAAAAGCGGTGAGCTTCAGTTACGTTTTTTTAATCTTCACAATTTTGGTGCCACCATTTTCAATAATGGCAATTAACGGGCAGCGCCAGGTTATTTTGCTGTATGATGTTCCTGGTTTGAATATTACAACTAATTTCGGTTATATTACAATAACGACTATACATACAATTAACGTTATTACTTGTGCTATTGGATTCTTAACAACCGATATATTTGTGCTATTATTTTTATCTCAATCGTATTTATTTGTGAATGTGTTTAAAGTGAAAGTTAAGGAATTCAATGAGTCAGTGACATTTGCAAAAAATCGTTTTATTCCAGCTACTGAGAAAGCGCTAGAAGATCTGCTCAAATGGCATACACTTTATCTAAGGTAACAGAAATTGCTATTCAAATTTTTAAAAATAAATCAAATATGATTAATCGTTACAATTTCCCTTAGTTACACTAGAACTTGCAACAATATTTTTTTCATACCAGTCACGGTACAGGTAGTTTTAACAACGTTTTCAATAACGTTAACACTGTATGTCATATTAACCAGTTACTGGCTTGGCGCCTATTCCTTTCTCGGTTTAATGGCTGTTAATTTATATATTTTGTGCATAATGGGAACTAAGGTTGAGAATTGTGTATGTATAGTAAATACTATTTTTCAAACGTACTTTTATATTATTGATATTGAAACTATTCAATTTAACTATTTCAGAATGACGAATTTTGCTTTGAGATTTATAACATATCCTGGTACAACTTAACAGTAGCTCAACAGAAAACTGTAAAACTTATGTTATTACAGTCGCAATCACCAAACGTTATCACTATAGCAAGTGTTATGCCATTGTCTGTCTCTTCAGCAATGAAGGTGATTAATAGTGAATGTATATTAAAATATTTTTCTTAATCATTTTTATTGTTTTCAGATTACTAAAGGAATTTATAGCATCTTTATGATGATGGTGCAGCTTTTGGTAGAATAGTTGTCTATAATAAAACTGGACTTATTAGGAATGTTATTGAAATACTTATAGTTACAATAATAATATTAAGTTATTATAAAATTACTCACATTTTGGAGTGATGGGAATGCAATTTTGATTGATTGGAATTTGTATTTTCTGAACTCTATTCACTGTTTTTGGTGATTTGTTACTGCACTATTTCAAATATTTTTACTAATAAATGTAACATAACTTTTGCAAAGATGATGTTATAACAGTCAACTATGATGAAATGATTATGTCTATTAAACATTAGAATTTATAATAATTTAATCAATTATTGCCTATATGAAAGATTTGAGATGTGTAAGCACTTCAGTCGTCAAATATGGACAGCTTCATCTACGGATTTTATTTAATATGCGGTAGCTATGATGGTTCTAACTCAATTCTTAAATATAAAAATCCTTATAGCCTAGCACAAAAGCTATTGTATTTGTTTTGTGATGAATTTTTTTTTTTGAAATCAGATATACACTCTTTGTTCGCTTAGGGTTCTGTAAATAATTGATAAAAATTATTGATAAATAATTGATTATTAAATAGTTAATCGAGCTTATACACGTATTTGATGTATGAGCTTTTATCACTAATCTTTAAATGAATAAATTGAAACATGGTTTATGTTCGGAATATATCATCAAGTGATTGAGTATTTGCATAATCGATTACATACTGATGAAGTCATCATTATATAGGAGTTTCTGATAAACCAGGTTTGATGATATCTAATACCAGTTTCCCATTCAGGTGCATGACTGACCTCGTCTGAATGTATCGTTAAAAAAGAGGATGGACACGGAGTTTCACGAAATGGGTTATATATATTATCCTTATTTTAACTGGGAATGTGGAACTAGTTTAGAAATTTGGTTTATGAATTGTACAAAGAATTTTATTACAGTTATATAAATGAGATTTTTGCTAACTTTTCCAGAGCTTCCAGATTGGTTATAATTTCCCTTTTAATTCCTGTAAGAAAACTTTGAAGGTTTGTTCATTGTACTATTTATTTATTTATTTATTTATTTATGAGCAGTTCTTAGAATTCTAATTTAATACAAGCGAGATTTATAATAGGAAATTTAACATTTAAAGCCATTAAAGCTGTGCGAAGTTTGCATATTCTTTTAATAGAGAAAAATTATGTAAAGAAAGACAAACGTTTTTTGTGAATACTAAAGATGTATATCTGAAAATTCAAAAAATATTAAATAACTAAAATATAAATAGAATTTTCATTCTTGAATAATACCTATTAATTCTTAAAATTTTCCTGATATATAAAGTACTCTCTTTGATTTATCGAACTTTAGTTGCTGTGAGACAAATATTAATTTTAATTAAAATCAACTAATGTTGTTTAACACATTTATCAATAATTTCCATACTTTTTATATTAAGTTAATTTTTTATAAACTCAACCATCATCATAAAAGTGCTATATAATGTTTTTGTTATCTGAAAAAGAGTAAAATTATTTATCTTAATTCTTCTTAAATACGAAAATTCCCAAACTAACTTGCAAAGCCGTAGCAACTGATAGTGGCATGACTCCGGCTAGCATCATTTGATTTGGCTGCTGCGACTGCATCAATATGAGCCTCACAACTTTTTGTTGGGACACCGACAAATTGTACCAGGATATGTTGTATATCTCATATTCTATCTCTTCACTCTTAAATATTTGATGTATATATTAATAGATAAAAAAGTTGACTAAGTTGTTGCAATTGGCTTACGCATCTTTCCAATGTAGTACCCAATATAAAACACATATTTAGTTTTACATATGCAAATGTTGCAAGTGGATAAGCTCCCGTCCAGTCAGAAGTTAATATCAAATACAAGGCAGTTAATATTGAAAATACGCAACAAAATATTTGTATAGAAATTTGTTTATAGAACATTCTATTGCATATACTTAAATATCTGAAAAAATATAAAAGAAAGTAATATATGCACTGATTATCTAAAGAGTGGAGAGGAATACTTCAGATATAATTTGTGCCACAGCACAATATCAATTAAACCTTCATCGATGTCAGGTGTTTCTCTATGCTGTGCACTATCAATGAGGTTATTAAAGTCTTTTACCTTTAAACGAAATATTTCACAAAGACTTTTAATTTGAACGAAATAAAAGATTAAAAATAAATCACCGACATAAAAAACAAAAGTTGATAAAATTGCCGAGATCACTTGCACAACAAGTGTTATTAAATAACCTGTCAACGTCTCAAGGTTTAAACCAGGGATATAATAAGGTAATATCAACTCATGTCGTCCTTTAAATATCCATAACATGAATGGTGGTGATGTCAGTATAAAAGACAGAAATATATAGAGTAAAGCTGTCCATTTCATAAATACTTTGACTTGCACACAGCACCCATTCAATGCAGTGACATAGCTTCTGTCTCTTTTCTCATATTCCTTGTATAAACGGACGAGTAGCGTTTGCAGATAATACAGTTCATTACTATACATTTTTGCATTCATCAGTATTGTAGATATTAGCACAGCACTTCCAACAGTTGAAAGGATCTCCAAAGTGCTCTTCCAGTCTCTCTGTATGGTTTCGATAATTATCCACGACGTAGAAACACAATATACTAAAAGAAAGAATAAGATTACAATCGCCTTTGCATTTAAACGGTAATTTGGTTCTGTGCAATTTATTCCGACGGCACCAGTTAATAAACCAAAAAATTTTATAAGTTCCTTCAAATTCTCGATAGGAGATATCGGGTTAGTAGTCATATTATTTTCCGGTATGCACTACACTTCCTAGCGTTTAAAGAAGTACTGTGAGTTACTAAACAAAATAACGATAATTTAGTTTTCTTTAACAATAAGCGATAATTACTATATAATAGCTAATAAGTGTGAAATATAACGCATTGTTATGACTCATGTTTATTGACAATTCCAGTGTCTTTGTTATTGATTGATGGGTTAAATACATTTTTTAATTACTTTAAAATCACGAAGGGAATTTGAAATAAGTCAGGTGAAAAAAGAAATATAATGTTCAGTAGTTTTTTTGCAGTAGTTCACACAATCCCATAGAAGTTATACTTTTTTGTTATTTTTGTGGTTATGTTTCAAGCTGATTCCTTAGTCCTGGATTAGATATCATAAACATGTGAGAGAGCGGATTGGATCCATTCTCAATAGTTACTTCATGCTTGTTGTTTTCTAGTGTCCTCAGACACCTACAACATTATCGGACACATCATCAATTTATTTTTGAATCTGCCAGCAGATTTTTTGATCTGCTGCATTTCTTATACATTCAGTCATTAATCAGTTATTTCAAAGGCTTCAATTTAACGAATTCTAACATACTTTAATCTCTCCGGGTGCATATTTGTTCTGCATTTGTAAAGATCCATTCTTTAGTAAAACTGATATGCTTATAATCGCAAGCAATCAATTTAATGCATATGCCCGAAATGATATGCCCGCATATGACCGAAAAGCTTAATGTACTTAAACCAGCTGGTATGCGCAAGTTCAACTTAGGTGCATTATTTTTCGAACATGATAACATCTTTCCAGTAGGAGAAGTAGGAGGGGACGATTGAGTATCTTCTTTGCAGCTGCCCTGCATAATGTAAAATTTGTATCCAAAATGAACTTGTTTTCCATTCTATGGTTTAAGGATTCTATGGTTAGGTTACGGGTAAAGGACCACTTTAACAATAATTGGTTAAGGTTAACATAAATTCGTTATGTTGTGTAAAGGGATAAAGAAAAGAAAAAAAAGAAAAGAAAAAAAGAAAAGAAAAGAAAAGAAAACATGTAAGTATACATTCTCGTGTCCCTATTGAGAAAAATGAACAGATTGTGATATCTCTTGATTGGAAAGCCGCATCGTTCTGGTAAGGAGTATCTACAGTACATACATAAAGATCACTATATCGCTTCTAACACTTCTTGAATGATATCACGTTCAATCTGTTGATATTGCAACAACAATCAACAGATTTTTATACACATATCGGCTATCACAAGTATGAAAATATCGAATCGCTTACAGTGAGTGTGTGATACCACAAAATTACTGCAGTACTGGTTCCTTAATTAATGTTTGTTATTTGCGTAATTTAAATACAAATTAATTCAAAATAAATTTAACCTATCAATCAGATATAATTATAAACTGTATTGGTTTTCAAACACGTGTCAAAACAATACGTTATAGTTCACACTCCACTCGTATTACAGTATTTTTAGTAACTAAAATGAATATGAATGAAGTAATATTAAAAAAAGCGTCTTAAGCTTGAGATAGTTCACTTGTGCATATAGCGAGATTTAAACCATGTCTATTCCTTCCGAGAACTTAAGCGAAATCATACAACGCGTTGGTTTTTTATCGGGGGCTGTTGGGATGAATTGCACGAAACCAAATTATGGTTTTAATGTAATCACAAAAGCAATTTTAATCATTATTTTAATATATGTTGTTTGCACATCTTGGCTTCTTATCGAAACTATACAAGTGGACTGGAAGCACACGTTAGAGATATTTTCAACTGTTGCAATTGTTATACTAGTCACCACAATACTGGCCAATATTATCGTATACGGCAGTGATATTTATGGTCTACAGACACTCCTTATAAGCTTATACAAGGAATATGAGAAAAGAGACATAAGGTATATTACTGCTTTAAATGGGTGCTGTGCACGAGTCCAGATACTTATAAAAGCGGCGGGCTTGCTTTATACTTTGATGATTTGCATTTTAATTTCATTTCCAATTACTTTATGGGCAAAAACTGGAAGATATTATTTGGCATTGCCTTATTATGTACCTGGATTGAACATAGAGATTTTATCGGGCTACTTAATAACACTTTTTCTGCAATCACTTTCCGCAATTGTCGGCACCTTTGTATATTTTATCGGTGATTTATACTTAATCTTTTATTTTGTTCAAATATATAGTCTCTGTGAGATTTTTCGTTTAAAAGTTAAGGACTTCAATGATCTCTTCGAAAACGAACGAGATGAAAGAAATTGCAATATAGATGAAGCATTGATTGATATCGTTCTGGGCCACAAATTGTATCTAAAGTAATTAATAATTGTTGAAATAATTGCTTATAACTATATCTAAACGATTTTTCTTTGCAGATATTTAAGTATGTGCAACAAAATTTTTTATATTCAAATTTCTATCCAAGTATTTTGTTATGCCTTCTCACTGCTCATGGGATTATATTTAATGCTAGTCTCAGAATGGATAGGAATTTATCCAATTCTCATTTCATCATTTGTTAAGTTAAATATGTGTTGTATATTAGGTACTACATTGGAAAAAAGTGTAAATCTTTTCAATTTATATACTCTTTCAATTCAATTGAACTATATATTTTTATATTCAAGAATGAAGAGATGGACTACGAGATATACAACATATCCTGGTACAATTTGTCAGTGCCCCAACAAAAAGTTGTGAGGCTCATGTTGATGCAATCGCAGCAGCCAAATCAGATAATGTTAGCCGGCGTCTTGCCATTATCGGTTGCTACGTCATTGCAAGTTAGTTTTTGTTTTTTATAAATGAGTACTACACCAAATTCTAATACTCACATTATTATTTTTCAGATAACAAAATTACTTTACAGCACTTTTATGATGATGGTCGAGTTTGTAAAAACTTAAACTGCTGTTTAATCTGTTAAATATTTTCAATTTAAATAGTAGTCTATATCTTATTGCTTTATTATACTGAATATACGCATTGTGGAATTATCACAGAAAAATTATTATAGAATATTATTTTCTTGTATTTATTTTTTAATATATACAAAATAGCGCAAGAACGCTCAATATTTAATTTTCTAAATAAAGATCTCTGAGTAGATCTTGAGTTTTTAACAGGAAATCATTTCTAACTACTGATCATGGTATTTTTTTCCGGATTTCATGTTACTTTTTCAACTAGGTAAGTTAGTACAGTGATCATCGCCTTTTGGGACGAATTAAGGCGTGTTTTACTATTTAAAAAAATATTCAATTGCCACCTTCCCTTTCTCTTCATGGTAGATATGGCAACATATCCACTGAGCTAAACTTGCGTATAGTTCTTTGTTCAAGCATGTATTAGCTACTATAAAAAATTAATTTACCGGTATTTGAATTATAAAATTAAGTATATTCGATGGGTAGACATATCGAAGGCCTAAGTAATCCTATTGTGATATTATGAGTAGTTTTTTT